CTACTGTTGCCATTGCTGTTATTACTGTATACTTAATTGTTCCCAGTTTTGCATTACAGCGTTACAGAGAACAAATCCCAAAAGAGCCTCATCACACCTGGGGAGGTGAGCAGGTCCCTTGTCCAGGTTGAACACCTGCAGCCCCTCCAACTAGTTCCCGGGTTCCGAAGCCCTCCCGGGTCTGGCTGGACTCCCAGGCTTGGGCCAGGCCAGCCATGGCCCACTAACGAGGGGGCTCCACAAGCAGTACTGGTTCCAGTGGGGCCGGGGTAAGCTAGGCAGAGGGGGAGCACCATGAGCCCACCTAGATTTGGGGTGACGCCGCTGTGTGTGCACTGAAACTTCCTCGCACCTGAGTCAGCCTCCAGGCCCGCCCTGGGCAGGTCAGCCATGGGACCCGGAGCCTCTGCCACATCACGCACACACGGTCAGCCCCCATCCACAGCCACTGGGTCCTCTACCTCTCTATGGCTAGAAGCCTCCAGGCGGCAGGCCCCACCTTCAGAGGTGAATCATGATTGGTCCACGATGGTCTCATTCCCTGTGTCAGTGATAGGCTGAGGCATGTTCATGTGACCCAGTTCCAGCCAATGAGATGAGGATATCTGTGCAGGGGTCTCAGGTGCCCCTGGAAAGGTTTTCTCAGGGACACCATGGAGGCAGCCCTTTCCCTCACTGAGTTTCCTTCTGCGATGCCCGGGGCTCCCCCATGACACTGGAAGCTTCGCTGCCATGCCATGGGCGGCCAAATACCCGGCTCCCTGATGACCTCATCAAGCCTTTAAGTCACCCAGCACTGCAGCAGCCCAGCGAAGTTCAAACTTACTGTTTCAGCCATGGCTTTTTGCTATCCGCAGCCCAAAGCATCCTTGCTGATAGCTCGTGGTTACATTTCATCTTCTTGAGATTAAGTCCATCACACCAGAGGAAGGGTCTGAGCCCAGCTGTGCACTCTGGAGCATGAAAATAGAATCTTAAAAGGAGGGGCAGGCAGAGAAAGTGGGTAGGGCAAGCGGCATCCCTCCAGGCAGAGGGAACAAAGGCCCGAAGGCTGGAGACACCATAGGGTGTGGCCAGGATAGACAGGCAGGTGGGCCATAGGGGGCCCTTGGGCTACAAAGCATCAGGGTTACCTTAGGCACAGGACCACAGGGCAGAGGGGACGCTCTGTGGATGGCTTTGACTTTGCCCACTAGCTCTGTGCTAGTAAGTACACTCAACTGGCCTTCTGACCCCCTACTCCAGTTGTACCCAGACACTACTCCTAGTGTCCAGAGGCCTGCCTGGTGGAGTGGGGACAGGGTCGCCAGGCTGTTCTTCTGCCAGGTGTGATTCTGCTTGCCATGTCCAGCCCCCAGGGCACGCATAAGAGACTCTGGCAAATACTCAGCTGAAATCTGGGTCACTCTGTGCATGGGTCGGAAATCCATCAAACAGACAGTTACTAAGTGCCTACAAAGCAGGGTGCTAAGTGCAGTGGAGACAGGGCCTGGTTCAAATCTCAATTCTGTTTCTTCCCAGTGGTGTGACCTTGAGTGAGCCATTTTACTTCTCCAAATCTAGTGTCTGCACTCTTTGTAAAATATCCCAGAATGAGTGGCCGCTCTTATCCTCACTGGTGCCGTGGTGACAGTGGTGGTGGGGAGGGGTGGATAAAATGACACACAAAAAACTTCCTGAGATGAAGGTTTATAATCTGAGTGAGAGAAAAAGACAAGCAAACAACATGTTGTCATGGACCAAACCTGAGAACTGATGGGGAAGGGGAGGGAGCATCTGAGACAGGCTCCAAGAGCCCAGAGGAAGAAGTCTCCATGGGAGTGATGAGGGCCACGGGTTCCTAGAAGAGGAAAGGGCCCACCAAGGCTGGTGGGAGGGAATGCAGAAAGGCCGGCGGTTCCATTCTTTGCTCCCAAACCTCTCAGAACAGCCTGTGGCAAACAGAAGGGCTGGACATAGCTGTTCCATGTGGGCATCATTTGCAAACTGTGATAGCAAAAACTCTGAGCTTGAGTAAGAAAGATGCAGATTCAAATCATGGCTCTTACTGCATGACCTTGAGCAAGTCACTTAACCTTTGAGCTCCAGGTTCCTTATTTGCAAAGCAGGTATAATACCTAATTCACAGAACATACCTAGAGGGCAGGACCCCTTTTCTACCCAGCTAATTCCTACTTTGAAGAGCTGAGATCCAGTGCCACCTCCTGCAGGGAGCCTCCCAGCCTCCTCCCTACCCTGCTAGACCACCCCTTCCCTGAGCCCATCCTGCGGCACTGTGATCCCTGGGGCAGGGTATCTCAGCATCTCTTGGACCTAGCTGTACCCCCACACAGAGTGGGTGTCTCCCGATGCCATTCCCTCCCCACACCTCCACCGCAGGTAGATACGAGAGTGAGGAAGTGACTAAGTCTGCTGGGAGGTTTGGGAAGGTTTCGGGGGGTTGAATAGGAATGTACTAGGGGGAGAGGGCAGAGAGTACGCCAGGCAGAGCTGGAAAAGGTGCAGGTACAAAAGCAGAGGTGTGAAGGGAACAATAAGGTAACTTGTGGGTCACTAGAGTATTTGTCAGAGAAATGGCTAAACATGAGGATTCAGGGTCCAGCTCCCACAAGGCCTCGAATGCCATGCCAATGGTTTGACTCTATAGAGAGTGATGGAAAACATTTTTAACAGGTGGCACAGAGACTCTTGGGGAATGCTGCGATAGTTTGGGCTAAACTTAGGTTTGGGGGAGGGGTGACAGGGCTACGGGTCACTACCTGGGGGCAGGTATTACAGGAAGCATCAAGGAGGACCACAAGTTCCACCTGGATGGCTTACTGAAAATCTCTTAGATAATATATCTGCACCCCATCATCCCTTATGATTGCTAAAAACCATTTCCTGCAGTCATCCCATGCCATACACGCAGCAGACCTGTGTAAACCAGTGAGCCAAGTGGTGCTATTTCCATTTTACAGGCAGACAAAGTGAGAGCCAGAGGAGAGGGACCTCGCCTCGGCCACTCAGGCAAACAGGGGGCTAGTCATAAACGAAGCCACTGTTTGGGCTCGAGTGTGTTTAGAGCAGGGCATCCTCGGCCATTTGACAAATGCGCTCAGCACCTTCTGGAGCCAGACCTTGGAGACACGGAGATGACCTTTGACCCCTGAGTCATCTCGGGACTGGACTGGTCACCTGGGCCTCGGACAGGCTGTGGCTCCTGAGGGAGAGGGAGCTAGACCCAAGGAGGAGCAGGTTTTCCAGTGTTCAGACACAGCAGGGGCTCACTCCAGGCCATGCCTATCTATGAGTCCTCCAAACTGGACCCTGGGGTGGGGGCTGGAAGACTAGTCCCTCCACAAAGGGAAAGGGCAGAGGGACCCTGCCCTTTGCTGTTTCTCTACGAAGCCCCCAAATGCCCCCTCCTTCCAGCACCTAGGCCCTGTGCACAGCCGCAGCCTGAGTCATCATCCCCATTTGTATGGTGGCCGAGAAATCAGCCAGGGGGCTGCCCAGGGCCGAGGGCCAGGGGTTGGAAAAACAAGGCCGTTCTGTTACCTCCAGCCTTGGAACCTTCCAAGAACTGGCCAGGGAGTGGGGGCAGAGGGCAGGTAGATACAGGATCAGAAGGTGTCAACAGCCAGAGGGGGCTCTGTGTGTATTTGAGGGGGGGATATTCAGAATCTGAGCTGTTGGCTTTTGTTTTCAAATGACCTGTTTAATAATTACCGTTTGCAATCAAAGGTGCAAGGGGGCTCTGCGAAGGCAAGGATTTCACATCTCCAAACCCCACCAAGCAGCCCCAAGAAGAAAGTAAACAAGATGCCACTAGCAGATCGGGCTCCATCTCGCAAACAATAGCCGGGACCGGAGCTCCCGCTCAGACACACACATCGAAGTGAGATTTCCAAGCAAGAACTTTAACAGGCAGATAACAGGCTCAGATTGAATTATTTCCCTGTGTCCCCTGAGCTCCTTTGAGCTCAGCGCCAAAGGGGGCAGCGTAGGGGGGGCTGTCATTTTAACGTTAACCTTGACCTGTAATGTATTCATTCATTTTGCAGCGAGGGAGAACCATCACTGCCCCAAACCCTGAAAAACCAACCGGCAACAACTTCATCATCCCTTTTAGCAGTCACAATGGTGGGCGAGCAGAGGACTTAAGTTACAGCAGCTAGCTGGCAATCACACTCCACCGGGCTCCCGGCTCCCCGAACAACAACAACAAAAACCCTACTCTGAGCACCTACCGGGGCTCACAAAGTCAAACCCTTACCGACATTGGGAAAATCCAAGTTTTTTTTCCCCCCTTTTACCTTCCAAGGCCTTCAACTATTTTTCCCCCTGCAGCATCCAAGCCCAGCCTCAAGGCAGATCCATAAACACGCCTGCTCCTCCCCTTCCACGGTTCGGCAAAACACCCCCACCCTCCTTTCCAGGACCCCAAGGAGAAAGGATCACCGCGACTCTAGCCCGCCGCCTCTCCCCGGCCCTCGCCCACCCCTCCCCCTGCGGCGTCCGCAACCCTCGCAGGCACCTTGAGATAAACACCCACTAATGATTTTACGATTTTCTGCTCAGGGTAGCCGCGCTCAGCACAATCCCTCCCCCCGCCGTGGCGACGGGGGCCGGCCCAACCGAGGGATTGGGGGATGGGGGCGTTAGTTTGTTTTTTCCACGGCCGCGTCCCCACACCTGTTTTTCATTCATTCATTCATTCGTTCGTTCGTTCATTCATTCACGGATTCGTCACTGCAGCCGCCCCGGCCCTCCGGTCTCGGGGAGGGGGCTGAGAGGGGGGAC